TGAATGGATTTATAGGATTTGGTCTAATTTGCACGAGTTACGTTGTGATTTAGATGAATTTCGATCAATTCATATTTTACCCACAAATCGCGGAACTCTCAGAAAATTACAAACTGCACAAAAATGTTTTTGGAATGGCATTGATGATGTTGATATCAGAGTACAACCGATATTTGAAAAATTTGGCGCCATATTTGTTAATAAAGGTTTCGAAAAACGCGATTTCTCGAGTTGGTTAAAGTAAGCATTTTAAAATATCATACGACTTATTGTATATAATTTGTTTTGATACTAATATAATAAAATTAAATAAATTATATACGTATTTATTTTGAATTAGAATATCAGATTATGTTATTAAACTTAAAAACGTGACCGGTGTTTTGAAGTGCTTTCTTGCAAACGAAAATTTTCCAAAAAACATACAGCAAAATTTGAATCCTCAAGAAACGGCTGATCTAATTAATTATTTATGCCATAGGAGTTCTAGTATTAGCAATTCACCTGATCTTATTGATGTAATCAAACATCTTCCAATTTTTACCGAAGTTGGTAAAGAAAATGAATTTATATCCCTAAAATCCGATACAAGATCATGGTATTTGCTTCCTCTTGAGGATGAGATAGATTATGGTCATATAATTGCCCCACATACTATTGGTTTTCTTACTGTTACTGATTCAAATTTAAGATTCCTTTTTGAAACTGTTATCAAGATTCCAAGATTAAAGCAAGAAGAATATTGGCGTAAATTTGTGATTCCATATTTAAGTTCTCAGCCTCCTGACATTTTTAAAATGATGCTCACAAAATTGTTTGAGCGACTTCCACAACTTATTTCAAGAGATGCAAGGTTGAAGAACGATTTAAACAATATGAAATTTATTCCAGCTGGAACAATTCTAATTTCAAAAAATAATCAGTTTATGACTGAAAAATATATATTGAGAAAGCCGTGTGATCTATACGATCCTGAAAACAAAGATATCGCCGAGTTATTCTTTGAGGATGAAAGCGTGTTTCCTGTCGGTTCGAATTTCTCGTATAGGTATTTGCCATGGTTGAAAGAGCTAGGAATTAAATCACGTCTTTCTCCAAATGATATCGTTCAACGAATAGCTATCTTTGCCAAGCGAAGGGAGGTTGATAACCTCATGGACTTGACCCACCAAAAATCGATGAAGTTGGTTCAATACATTGATGAAAATTATGATGAACTTATATTCTCTGGTAGTCTCGACTCTCAACAATCAAATGTTTCTATTTCCCCAGAAGCATCACAACTAGCACTCACTTTGATGAGTAAAGATTGGATACCTGCCGTAGATCATCTGGGAAAAAAATTATTTTTGGATTCATCAAATTGTCGAAGTGAAAAATATAAGAATTTGGTCGGCTTAGTTCTTCCAATCGTAGAATATTCTCCAAGAAGTGACCTTTTTATAAAGAATTTACTATGGGATTCGTATCCATCTGTGGATATTGTTCTTAGGCAACTTAATTCTCATGCACAACAACAACAACAACAATCTTCCACTTCTCAAGTTCAACTCGATATATCAAAGACATGCGACGCAATATACGAGTATTTAAATGAATTATTTACATTAAATGATCATGAATCTATATCAAAATTCAAAAAAGGACTTAAGGAAGGGTCCGGAAAGTGGATTTTATGTAATGGAAAACTTTATTCTTCTGCTAATGTCGTATTCGAGTTTGAGAAAGGTTTTACAAGTGGTGCTTTAGAGATTGTTCAACTTCCATGCGAATATAGATTTAAATACAGAAAAATGTTTGAAGAAATGGGAGTTAGACAAAAAATTGGAATTTCGGATTTTATTGAGATGGCAAAGGAATATCAATATTGGGACACTACAAAGACATTGACAATTGATGAAATACGTAATATTGTTATGCTCATTGATCACATTTCACAAAGAATTGTTGAGCCAAAGCCAACTGGTCTTAATTATAGCCAAGCAATAAAAAATTTAAAGGACAGTTATGGCTTAGAAACATTATTTATTCCAAGTACCGATTGTCAATTAGTTGAGTTAAGTGAAATTCTATACGATGATATGCGGAACAACAGATTAGACGAAGAAAGGAAAAATGATTTTAAAATCGCACATTCTTTGATTTCATTTGGCATCGCAAAATCACTTGGGATGCGGATGCTTTCCGAAAAATTACTTGATGAATGTAAGCATTATGTATCCTGATCTCGCATTATTTATACTGTAAGACTAACACAATCCTGTTTATTTATTTTCACGCACTCTTATTGTTCTCTCAGCTGACGATTTTAATGATGAACATGAAGATTATGAACAGAGTGAACCATTAACCGCCAGAATTCGCAATATCATTAATGTAATTCATTAATTCATTATCTAGTTTACGATCAATCTTTCATCAATATTTAATCTTTACTTAATATTTAGGATTATCCACTCGTTTCTTTATTCAAAGAGTTTTTACAGGCAAGTCATTGAGTTCATTGATTATTAGTTCATTGATTATTACTTTCATGCAAAAATACATTATTTATATGAATATTTAAATACAGAATGCGGACGATGCCGGAGCTAAAAAGTTCCATTTAATCGCAGATGAAAGGTCTTTTAACACGCCAAAATCTAATTCTTCATTATTAACTCCTGAAATGAGCCTATGGCAAGGGCATGCATTATGGATATATAATGATTCAGAGTTTACTGAAAAAGATTTTAAATCGCTTCGAAATTTAGGAAGAAGCGAAAAATCAAAAGATAATTCTAAAATTGGAAGATTTGGAATAGGATTAAACTGCTGTTACCATATATCAGATGTGATAAGTTTTGTAAGTGGTGAATATATCACATTCTTAGATCCATCACAAAAATGGTTACCCAAGACCGGTAATCCTCCAAGAAAGCCTCGTGGTATACGAATAAAATTTATCGAAAAGGATTTCAAGAAAAGATATTCTGATCAAGCCATGCCATATATGGATATTGAAGGGTGTGATTTTAGTAAAAAGTTTAACGGGACTTTATTTAGGATACCTTTGAGAACAAAACAGTTTGCATCACAAAGTGAGATATCAGATAAAGCTTTGTCTCTTAATGAATTGGTCGCTCTGTTTAGTAGAATACAAGGAAGTCACGAAATGCTATTTTTAAGGAATATCGAAAGTTGTGGTTTACATCACATTAGTCAAGATCGAAGTCGAAAAGTATTTTGGGAATCCAAGATCGATAACTTAACGGATCTTATCCGTGAACAACGACTCCTGCTTTCTTCTGAACCACAGTTATTTCAACTTGAAATTGAAACAGCTAATAAATTAAGGGGTTTAAGCATGAATTCTGAAATTTGGCTTATTTGTTCTGGTGGAGCTGATATAGTTGCAAATTTTGATGTGAAAGCATTTTCTCTCAAGAACAAACTTTTAGTGAGTAGATTTAATATGATATATTTGTTAAATATGATAAATTGATAACGTTTATAGATTAACATTTTTTTTATCATAGCCAAGAGGTGCCGTTGCTTCACAACTTGCACAATCTAATAAATCATTAGATATGCTAAGAATGAAACCGGTAATTAATATTTCAAAATTTTTGACACGCAGCGCATGGCCATATGTTACTAAATAATAATTTATATTTTAAGTTTCCAAATCCTCCGCAACTCAGGGGTAGAATGTATTCATATTTATCTTTACCAATTCTTACGAGTTTAAATGTTCATCTTAATGGAACATTCGCTCTTTCTAGTGATAGGAAAAGCCTCTTACAATATGATAGCGATTTCGTGCCTTTGGAAACTCTAGAAAACAAATGGAATGAATATATTTTATTCAATGTTCTTCCACCTTTACACGCAAAACTTTTAGAACATATAGCGTCATTAGATTATGAACGATTCTTACAGGCGCCAAAGAAAAATTTTGAACCAATTACATCCACTATACTATGGCCAATTGTTAGAGAAACAAATCAGACATACAGAGACTATGGAAAAAAATTAATGGAAAAATTGGAAAAAGGGAATCATAAGATTTTTTGGACCCTCGCGAACGGAGGAATGTTTACTTCTCATAAAGATGCTTATTTTGCAGCACCTAATGACAAACAAATTGCTAGTGTTCTTGCGATTCTAAATATACCAACCGTAAGATTAACCCAAGATCAATTTGATGATCTTATTAAATTGCTTCCAATGTCCAAAACTATCACCGTTCAATTGATTTGTAATACTTTTCATGAATGTTCTGACGTCTGGAATTCTTTTGAACAACCTTGCGACCTGGTTATTAGTTTATTGGAGTTCATTTTCAAAAAAGATGAAACGATCACAGATTTTCGTGGACTTACTTTGGTACCACTACTAGATGGAACTATTGGAACATTTGGTTATCAAAATTACTATATCGCAGCATCAACAAAAATGAAAAACTTATTTAAAAATGTGGAACCGTCCAAATTTGTTGCTGAACTTCCAACGGGACTTGATATGAAATTTAAAGATGAAGATTTTTGCCGTATTAATGGAATCAAAATTCTTGATTGTGATGAGTCTGCAGTTCTTGAATTATTGGAGTACGAATTACCTCGTGATCAAGAAATATATTGGAATCCTTCTGGTGACTTACATCCAAACCAACAATGGATAGATCAGATTTTTAAAATATTTACGGTTGAAAAAGCACAATACGATTTCAAAGAATTTTCAAGGTTTCCATTATTGCCAATGGAATTGCCGGAAAAAAAACTCGTCTTATTTAATTCCAATGAACCTTTACTACGTTTATCTTCGGATTGCTATGAATATGGTTCAATGGTTCCAATATTAGCAAAGCTAGGAGTTAGGTTTACAAATAAGGACCCTCCTCAAAATAATGGACTTAACCTAAATCTTGCAGCTATTAGAGAATGCATTCTTATAGCAACCCCAACGAACATGGTTGACTCTCTTAAGAGAGCTGTTTTAAAATCACCGAATACATTAGAACAAATATTTTCAAGTCTTAATTTAGACGAAGTTGAAAAGTGTAGAGATTTTGTTAGGAATGCATCCAGAATTAATTTGGGTAAGCTTTATTAATTCTATGAATTATATATTAAAAGTGTATATCGATATGCTAACTTCCTTTATAATAATTTATTAGAAAATGAAGTTATGCTATACCTAGGCACATTGCCAATTTGGCCTACACAATCGCAAAAAAATAATTTTATTTCTGCAAGATCTGGTATATTGCTACCAATGGGTATCCCATTTTTCCCATCCCGTCGAGCTACAAACATTATTTCTGTGAAATCAGACGAAGATTATAACATGTTTGTTTCACTTGGAACTAAACAAATTGAGACGTTCGAATACATCAAAGAATATTTAAGCCCTCACTTTGAAAGCATTAAACCAAATAAACAATTCATAGATTTCTTAGTAAAAGTTCTTTCATTGAGAGACCTTAAAATTGAATATTATCTTAAATCAATTCCCATAATTCCAAATAAGTCACTTACAAAGCTTTACAAAGCGGACCAATTGTACTCAGAAGATGAAGATCTATTCCGTACAATCTTTAAAGGTTCTGATAAATTCTTGCCACTTGATTTACAAGAAAACAATAGCTGTCTACAAAGTCTGGAAAATATGGGTCTAAATATTCATATAAACCCTCAAACATTTATGTCCTGCGCTAGAAAAATTCATTCTGACTTGCAGCAACCCGATATTCAATTTAGTACCATGAGATCTCGAGCAATAACTTTGATCAGTTATTTGTATGACCATCCAACGGATTTAAATTTCTCAGATCAACAATGGAGTGAATTGACATGCATTAAATTTGTGCCCGCTGAAATGGATTTTAAAAGCCCATATAATGAACACGCTCGGAAAACCACTGGATTTGAATCTTTGAAATCGTTGCGTTGTCATGAATATAAACATCTTTGTTGGACAAGGTGCCTATTATTTGACAAAGCCGTTGATCCGCCTAAAAAATTTTTGGAAAAATATCCTATGCTAGGTAAACCTTTATTTTCAGAAATAATTAATAATTGGAAGTATGTTGCGTCAAAGGTATTTCAATCCAATGGAGCTGCTTCATCGTGGAGATCAAGTGATGCGTTAACCATATTGAAAGAAATATATACATATTTAAATGATATGATAAATTTGGATAATGAAAATAGGGGAAATATAAAAACCTTGAAAAAAACATTTTCAACCGGACCTGCTATTAAACTATTTTTAAATAGTGAAGATCCATTTGATCTCGATAGTTGGTTGACAGGACAAAATTTAGTGTTTGGTATCAAAGAAAATATTTTACCAGGTTTATATAAAGTTCACCCGTTTTTACAAGAGTATAAAGAATTATTGAAAATTGCTGGTGCAAAGGAATTAAAAGCTGTTGAACCCGACGTCAATGTCAGAATACATTCACAGAAAGATGAATTGGTTAAGGAACTGATAAACAGCTTTGAAAAGCAAAATGAGACGAAACATCACGATGTTGTCTTTTGTATTTCTGGTGATGATAGAATTGAAAAAGTTTACGCTAATCGATATGCTCTTTCTGGTAATTATTAATTTTCTTTCTTTATGTAGTATACAGATTCGAATCCATCATAACGTTTTATGATTTTCTACTCTATATGTATTCTTGTAGCATCCTCAAATTATTTCAGAGCAATTTTTTGTGGACAAATGATTGAATCTACCGAATTTCAAAGAGCAACCGTGGAAATAAAAGACATTCAACCTGACACATTTCGAATTCTTATACGCTGGCTCTACGGCCAATCATTTGAAGAGGCCACTTCAAACATGTTTGAAGCATCTGAAGATCAATCTTCAGATTTTGAAGCAAGATGTTTATTATTCTTGATAGATTTGCTTAAAGCATCCGATATATATCAAGTAGATCCGCTTAAAGATATCGTCGAAGAAAAAATAATTACTAAATCATACATTAATGTTAATAATGTAGTCGAAATTTTAGAATGGGCTCGAGAATGTAGAGCACCTCAACTAGTGAATTATTGTGAAAAATATATTAAATTAAACAAGGAACTTATAATACAAAAGAGGAAGGATAACATAAATAATGCAGAAAATGAAGAAGATAGGCAATTGGAAAAGGATATGCTAAATTGTTTATATCAAAAGTATTAATATAGGTAGAAATGTTAATAACATGCTTCGTTTAAAATTTCAATCAGCTAAATAAAATTTTTCTATTATTCTGTTTACTGTGAAAAAAATAGTACAGTATTCATTTTTTTTAAAAAAAATTTGTCATTTCATAAATTGAGTGACGTAAATGAAAACCTGTAAATATTTCATGGCGAACTCCATACGTATTTGGTAAGATCAAAATACGTATCAGCCAGTCGTTCTAGTCGTTTCAAATAACACGTGACAAACGCGAAAAATAAAAAGGTGCTTCGTTTCTCACTTCCATATTTGCTGTTATTATTATTAGTAATGTTAATACCGTACAGTATAAACGCGTAATAACGCGTAAGGGCGCGTTATTTTGAGCCCATGCGCGTTGTTTCGGGACGCGCATGCGCGATAATTCGAACTTTCTTGAGACATCATAATAGAATTAGAAACAGATACTTAATTTTTTTGAGGTAAAAACAACACAAGGCGAATAAATTCTAGATATATTATCATGTGATAATAAATAGTTTCAGATCTTGAGGTTATTTATTATATTCAAATTTCTGAATTTATTCGAAAATTCAAAAGAGCACGTGAAAGATAATATGGTACATACGGGGCGCGTTATTTTGAGACGCGCATGGGCGTTATTTTGAGTTAAATATGCCATTTTTAAAAAAAATTTCGAAATAATGCCCATGTGCGTTATTACGCGCTTATACGGTATATAGATATTGTTAATTATTCTTAGTGGTCTTCGTGATGATGTTCAAATACCCAATATTATGAAGTCATTTCTCTGACGACGAATGCGACAAATACGATTGGTATCCCCAAATTTTAATAGATTATCGTGCTCGAAAAGACTAACCACATACTCAAGATCAGGCGTCTATATAAAAATCGAAACGAACCACTTTGTACTTTTTTACAAATAAATATAACCTTCTACAATCTAATTAAGCATGTTCCTCATGAAAATCTACTACATTTTTCTAACCTAATCCAAGCTATAACGGCTTGATTTTACACGAAACTTTTATCATCATTATTTAGAAATAAACACGGTTGTTTTACATCAGATCTTAAGTTTAAAATTACAGGGGAAGAACATTTTTGTGAATGCGTTACAAAAATGAAAGAATCGGTGTTAAATTTATTCACCGGCAGTTAGGAATGAAAAAAACCGGTTTAAACAGTTTTTAGATGTTTTAAACCATTTTAAAAAACTTTTTAAAACATGGCGCTGAGACTAAAATTTAAAAATTAGCTAAAATGCCGATTCATCAAGTTTCATAGAGATAACTTTTAAAGAAAAAATATTCACATTATAAACATTCGTTTATTATATAATTACAAGAAATGTATAATTACTTAATTTCTGATTTAACTATTTGTAAATATATATATATATCTAATTTACGATCCACGAACTTGGCCCGAAAAACTCATGTAATATGTAATCTAAGGAGGCGCGTTATTTTGGGACACGCTATTTTGGGACGCGCATGGGCGTTATTTTGAATCAAAAAAAAAACAATTTTCAAAAAAATGAAAGTTTTAAAATAACGCCCGTGTACGTTATTACGCGCCAATACGGTATATTTATTCTTTTAAAAAGGGTATGTTTTTGTACACCGATATTATGATGTACTGTGATTGGCCAGATCACATCAGTATTTAATTATAAAAATAAGTAACCACATTTCTCTTAATCCAGTATTTAATTTAGTTTCATATTTTTATTCCGCTAAAATAATGTTTTTAACAAGATATTTCACTGTTGTCTTTGATCGCTGGAGACGATTATGTAAATAAGTACGTACTTTAAAAAAAATAGAATTCGTACGTTTCTTATTTTGAAATAAATACGTCACTTATTTTATCTGAAATCGGACGCCGAATTATTAATTCTGAAACCCCTAGTAGTATGACTTAAAGTAGGTATGTTTTAGAGACCTCAGATTATGCGATCTGAAAAGCATTTTCGTGCGAGGTGATAATTTCAAATTGTGCGATATTTATGCGAGGAACCATATACATATTTCGTATTGTTTTAATTTCGATCTATCATTGTATAATGTGATAATTACGGATTTAAAAAAATTTAACAATTATATACATATGCTTTTATTATTCGCTTAAAATTCACCGCATAATGCAACATAAATTACTTAAATTTAGTAAAAATTAGTTGCATTTTATGTGTCTATTATGTGATTGCATCTGTCCGGTGTCTCTAACGTACTCCCGACGCACTTTCACAAGGTAGGGCTGCTGTTAAAAATCGAAAAAGACCTCTGCTATTGTTACGTATTATTATTACGTCAGAATGTATTAAATCAAACGTTTTTAAACCAAACAATCATGTTTTTTAACATTACGTTTTAAAACACCTAGGGACAGTTAACGGGACAGTACAATGCTCTCTAAACGTAGCCGTAAGCCCTTACCAACAATGCTAAGAGAAAAGACATTTCAGAAATTTAGTCAATCAACGCGCGTTCCGTGAGCGTAAGAAGAATTATATTCATGATCTGAAAACTAGGGTTAGGGTTCCAACATCCAATCCGGATAACTGTCCAACCGATCAACCGAATCGAAAAAAGTAAACCGGATCATAATTTTGACAAACCGGTTTAATATAACACTCGTTTGGTAAACGGACATCCGAGTTCTTTTATTGAAAACATTATGCCGAAACTGTAACGATATTTCTATAGGTAATCGGATATCCGGATCATCCGATTAGGTTACCCGATTACAGCGACCAGTTTTTACAGCTGTTTTCATAAGTTCTGGGACACCCTAAAAAAATTTGCCGATAAGCGATTTCGGTGCTACACATATATAAATTCATAATACATGTGTATTTATTACTATGATTTTTCAAAACATATTCGTTGGAAAATAGTTAAAAGAACTTAGAAGGCTTCAGTTAATTGCTAAACATTTAGGTGTTAACAGGTCTTCTGTGGGTCGAGTTCTCAAACGATTTCAAAGGTTTGGCTGTGTTACTGAATTACCATCACTTTAAATAAACATTATACATAATTTGAACTTTATTATAATTATATCGGCAAATATTAATAAATTCTTGACCTCTTATTTCAACTTGTGTTGCATTTTTTTACAACCTCTGATCGATTTAACCTTTTTTTTTTTTATTAGTGCCTACTCGTGTAATAGGAGTGTTACGTATTAAAAAGGCAAATTTCAATTTTTTTTTTTTTTTGATTTTGTATAGATACAGTATATTTCAATAAACAGATTTGCTATACTATAAGTTGCCAAAGATAACTATATAATAAAAAGATTCATCAAAACGAAAATTTTGTTTTTATTTATAGATCATTTAAATTCAAAGCTGTTTATATGTTAAATTTTTGTATCATACATATTGGATAAGGCAAAAAAAATTTTAATAAAGTGTTGAAAGAGTTGACGTTGCTGTAATAGTAACTCAATAATTTTTTTATATACTGATAACGCACTAATCATACCGAAATCAATAACTTATCGAATTCGGCCGAATAAACTTCGGTAAATTTTTTTAGAGTGTCCAGAATTTATGAAAACAGCTGTTATGATACACCAGATAAAAATTTGCCGGATGATTTTTCGGCCGATTCGAATAAGTTATTGATTTCGGCATGATCGGGTTATAAGACATAATTTTACGTGTAATATCATACTTGTTCTACAAATAACTTTATCATTATAATGTCGACGCATTCAACATTATTAAATTTTCGGTTTACTGCTATTTTCATAATTCCTGGAACACCTGATAAAAATTGGCCGAATGACTTTTCGGCCGATTCGATTTAGTTTGTGATTTCGGCATGATCTGTATAATAAAAGCTATTTTGTATCATAACGATTGTTTTACTGATAATTATAACGATAGTTTCAACATTATTAATTTTCGTTCGAATCCTTGTCTAACATGTTTGTGTGTCTAGTTTGCACGAAAATTTATGGATAAAACTGCGCTTGTCAACCGATAAACCTTAGCAAGAAATATCAGATATAAAATTGGGCTTTTGTAACAAATATATTACAAGGATAGTACTAATATTAAAAAATCAAATATGACCATGAATTTATCGACTTATTTAAAAATGAATTTCGGGTTAAGATTCCAAACGATCAAAATTTTATTATATTTGTTGTGAATACATGAAGTTACATGAAGAATTACATGAAGAATTATGATAAACAAAATCAAAGTAGAAAATTTATATACAGTATAAACAACGAAATATTACTTTTTTTTATATCCAAGTCGTGTTTAGCCTTCAAAGCTCCATCTCAAATTGTAATTCTCACAAATACCAGTCAGGTTTCCCCTCAATATTAAAGCTTTAATATGTTTTACATCGTTCATGTTTAGTGAACATGATTTTCCTAAAAGCGACGAAGCATTTCAACACATCCATATCTTTGAAACTGCTTAAGAATCTGACTTATAGAAGATATACTAACACCTAAGCGTTGGCAATTTTTCGAATGGTAAGCCTTCTAAATTTTTTTAAATTATTTTCCAGCGAAGCTGCTTTGAAAGTATTGCTTTTCTGTATTCCGTATTCATCAGAGATACAGTATTCGCATGATTATTATTGCCGCAAACTTAATCGGATCGACTTGAACATCATGCGTTTGGTTTGTACGAAAAATTTATGGAAAAAACAGTTCTTGTCAACTTGATAGGAAACATAACAAAGGCACACATATTTATAAAATAAAAATATATATATTCTGTATAAAATATACGTATATATATATATATTTATGTATATCCAGGTCGGTGTACAGTCTTCCAGGACTATATTTATGCCCAACTAAAAGTCCCTTCTTAGATTGTATTCATACAATTACTAGTCACATTTTTCTTTCATTAAAGTTTTAAGATGTTTAATATCGTTCATATTAATAATGGTTTCTTAAAAATGACAAAAGTTTTTCAATATTTGAAAGTCCTTGAGAACCCGAATATACTAAAA